CCAAGCTCTTATCTTTATAACAAGAATCACGATGTCATATGGTGTGATTTGTAATCTGGGAATACATTGGGTACGTAGCTATAGAAAATTTAGCTTTGGCTTATATATGATGTCTTATCTTCCAAAAATCCTTTTATTTTATATAAAAACTCAAATTATAATAAAAACCTTCAAAACATTTTCTTTCCACAAAGAATATTTTTATCTTAAACTTTAAAAATTCATATTTCTTAATCCAACTATTTAGTTTTTTTAAAATTTCTATTCAATATGGATTCTATCTTTAAGCTTTACTACAAAAAAATTAACTGTAAATCTATTATCGATCTTTTGGCATCTTTGAAATTCTAGCAAGTGCCCTAAATCCTAATCTATAAGTACTTAAAAACTATTTTCTTTATATCTCAAAAATCCAAAATCCAAATGCCACAAATTTTATACATAGAATTTACTAATATAATTATAAACATTCTTAGAAACTTTGAGCCAAAATCTCATCAAATTGCTCAAGATATAGCTCAAAATACAACTACTAGTGAATTGGGTCACTTACTACCCTTAGATTTGCAAGTGTTGATTTCAACCTCTAATAGCTCCTTCATCTCAACTTGGAAGCCATCAAAAATTATGCCAAAAGTATATTCAAGACAGTGCTTTTTCCAACTCCACTCACTAATCCTCTCTTGCTTTCTGTATGCATGCGTTATATCCAAAAGAGTGATAGTAGGTACAACATCAACACCTCAACTTTGAGCACCTATGTCTCCTTCATAAAAATTCCAATAGATTCAAAATTTGTACCAAAACCATAGCCAAAAATCTAAACTTATTGATCCTAGCCTTCCAAAGCTCGAATGGCTCAAAATTGTAACCCAAATTTCTAATAAGGCCTTGGACAGCCTCTTTGAAGTTCATTGGTCATGATTTTTGACCAATAGGAATAGAGATTTATATCATCTATCTCCATTCATTCATATGGGTATCCTAACTACCTTTTTTGCTACCAAAATCCCTCTCCAATTCTTTTCTTTACAAGATTTATATAATATATGTCCTAAACACCATATAAAGAAATAAAATAAGACTTTAAGAATCACCAATATCTAACAAAGGTGACTCTAAATATTTAAAAGTTACTACTAATAAGATCAACTTCAAAGTCACTATCAAAAGAAAATAAAGTTATATAAATTCTAATAGAAGCCCTTTTAAACAACCTCTTTTTGAAGTTGTAATCTATCCACATCTTATAACCAACAAAAATCTAATAACATGGCTTTCACTATGTTGTCTAGTATATTGTGTATTAAATATATAAATCCATTATTTTCACATAGTAGTCAAACCACAACATGACATCTATCCCTTCTAAATCTATATATCCTCCGATATGCACCAAAAAAAATCAAAGTTGTCGTCAGCGTCATACCACCTCTTCAACATTGTTGTATTTTTTTTTTTTTTTTTTTTTTTTTTTTGATCCATGTCTTCTTCTTCTTTATTTGTTAAAAAATTTATGTCTTTTCTAATACTTTCATGAAATTCTTGTTGCCTTAATCAATACCACTTATCAATTTTGTCCTTGGTTTTTCAACATATTTCTTTGTAAAAATCTTTTGAACTTGTTTTCATATATATATATATACCTACTATCTTATCATCTTTACTAAGGACATCCACTCTTTTTAGGTCTTTTTTAGATTTTTGTATAATCCTTTGCTGCCATTTTTGTAAGCCATTAAGCTATGTATCTACAATAAATCTATTCTTAGATAATTTTATAATATCTATACAAAAGATATTATTCTCTCCATATAAGAATACATGCTTTGATGTATCACTATATTCTTGCTCTATAGTGGTATTTTGCAAAGACCTTTAAATTATTCATTAATCCTTGGTAATAAACCACTCCGTAGATAATCTCAATTATGCTTATGATTAGCAAATATAATGAAGAACTGTGTCGCTTTCTTGTATCATGGACATATATATGTAAGCTAATAATTACTTATATAAATAGGTAGAAATAAATAAAAGTAGGTAAAAGTAAGTTAATTCTATAATATCTTCTAAAAAAACTTTTTAGAAGCTTTATAGATACTTCTTTGATTTTATAGGTATCTATTATTGATTTTTAGGTTAGAAACTTGGTCAAAAAGTTAATCATGTGCTATACATGTTGACAGCCTAAAGAACAAGCTAACTATATGGCAGACATATAGAAAAACTTGCCTTGTTAATCAAGGCATGTATCCTACAAAGTCAACTCATATTAGAGGTCTTATAGAATATTGCCACATATTCCCTAATTAGATAATATATATATAGAGATAAGATTGAAGCCTTCTTTATTCTTGTTAATTCTTTTTCTTACTTTTAGTCTAGTTTAAAGAATCTCAAGTTTTCTTATCTTTTGGCAATAAGCCATTTCAGTTTCTTTTTAATATATGTACTTTCTTATTTTTAATTTGTCACTTTTTCTTTGACAAAAATTTCATTGATTTATGTATCATCTTCTAATTCATGTCCTTAATAGATTGACAAGAGTACACTTATAATATTAGAGCTTTGTCTTGTCTTGATTAAAAGTGGATTACCCCTTTCTCATGATAAGACATAAGCATATTAGAAGTTACAAATTATCCTCTTCTAAATTGATATTTTTTTTAGTATTTTCTTTGTCCTCAAGTCCTTTCTTTTCCTTATCTTGAGTGGTATTAGATATTTTTTTGAGTATTATTATAACAAAGCTTGTTGAAATGAAAAGTGCAATAGCATAAATGTAAGAGCAATTGAAAGATTTGATGCTCGTATATCAACTCAGCTTACCACTACAAGGATCAACAAGAATGATAGGAAGTAAGGATATAGAGATGATTAGATCTGCCTCAACATCTACACCAAATCATGTCCCTCTACCCATGGTGGAACATCCTTCAAATATTAGAGAATCAAGAGTTGCCCTATTTGAGAAGTTTGATGGTATAAGATTCAAATTTTGAGGATTTATCAATCAAGTACAATTTATGATTGAACTTCAATCTCAAAGCTATCCAACTCTAGGATCACAAGTTAGATTCATTGGTACACTTCTTTCAAATTTAGCACTATCATGGTTTTCAACTTTTTTTGAGTGACAAGATCCAATATTGAATAATTTGGAGGTATTTTTAGCAAAATTTTGGTCCATGTACAGAAAACATGATACAAGTTGTGTTGCAACCAATAAGATCCGTATTTTGTGACAAGGCAACCGATTTGTAATATTATATGCTTTATAATTTTGACAACTTGTAATTGATATCAAGTAGAATGATGCTATACTTATTAGCTAATTTCTTTGTGGATTATAATATTATGTAAAGAAATTGATGCTCAACTTATTTGATCCTCAAACATTGAATTAAGCAATTGACTTTGCAATAAAGTGTGACAATGGACTTTTTGAATTTTGATCTAAGAGTCATATAAGTAGACTTTAACATTAATATAATTTGATGGTAACACCAATATCTCCTCAATACATACATTCAAAAGTAAAGGATATACAAATCGATGTGGTATGGTTTAAACCTCTTGTTGAGCAAGAAAAGACTCATCGCCGCTAAGGATTGTACTTATATCATGGAGAACCTAAACACACTGCTCAATATTGTCTAAAGAAGCGATAAAACTACAAAAAGAGAAGCAAAGTTGTCAAAGAAGACAATATGTTGGAAAATAAATTTTTCTAGCTACAATAGAGACCGTGCAGTTGGAATTTTGTACAATTTCTAATAAAGATCCTATCTTCTCCTCAGAATCCCTTCCTTGTTTTATAATAGATGTACATTTAAGATCTAATAATTATAAAGCCTTTGCCTTGATAGATTCAGGAGCCTCAACTTGTTTCTTAAATATAGAATTTGTTAAAAGTCATAAAATACTGTTAGTATAAAAAACTAAACTTGTTCATGTAGAAGTCATAGATGGTCATCTGTCGTCTTCTGGAGATATTACTCATAAAATACTTCCTATAGATGTAGTAATAAATGGTCATAGTAATTACATAATCTTTAATATAATTAGATCTCCGTATAATCTAATCATTTTAGATTTATTGTAGTTAGAAAAATATATTCTTTGCTGTGGTTGATCGTTTTATTTATTTCGAAAGAAACCTCCCAAAATAAACCTGTATAGGAGAATTCGAACACGGGGAGTGACTAGTTGCTTAAGCGTTCACGTTAGGGTCACACAATTAATTACCTCCAATGTGTCGTCTCTATTTCCATTGTCTAAGCACACAAGAAAACTATAATCTCTCCTTTCACCTTATCAATCTCTTCCTTACAACAATTCAGTCATACCAATAACTGTTATTTCCACCAATATATCTTCACTCTTATAATCTCTAACTGTAATACCGCAACATCACAGCTTCAGCACACAATTACTCTCATTCCAATTACTGGAATTCTTCACACAGAACTACCATTCACATTACAGTGTTTCACACAACCACAGATTCACTCTTTCTGCTGAACTACATTCAGATTTCAGCATTCAATCTCTCTTCTTCTCATTCAATAACATATAATTCCAATCACACTTTCATTCCATGATTCACTTCACAATATTCAGAAACTTTCAATACTCTTATTTCAAAGAACATAATAATAAAAGAAAAGAGATAGCACCAAGCTTACCCCGGCTCACACTATCACAGTAATGGCCGTTTCTTCCTTTCTCTCCTCCTCCTTATCCTACCATGAGATACCAACTGCTACATCTCTAATGAAAACTGCTTTTTCTAACTATTCATCCATTTTAACTATTGAACTACCTTTCCAACAGTCATCTATCCCTGTTTACACTATAAACTAAGTATCTACAAATCAGCAAATAACTACTTATTCTACATAGCCCTACTCCTAACTGTGCAGCGTCCTCGTAAACAACCAGTTCGAAACAAGAACTGATGACTCCTTAGCATTGCCCATACTCATAGCTACTGATTACAATTCTAAAGTCACTTCTTCGTCTTCCCCGTCTGATACATTTATTGGTACTATGTTCAATTTGGCCATTAAATCTTCATTAAGTGCTCCCAATTCACGGACTTGACTTTCCAATTGTAGAATTCGGGTGTCTTTCGCCTCTAATTGGTATTGTTCTTGCTTCACCTTCTGTTCCAATTCGCCAATTGAACCTTCAATTGACCCTTGTGGCCGTCGAACGCTGACCAATTCTTTCTCCAATTTCTTTGCAACCTCCTTCAGAGTGTTGATCTCTCCTTGCATTTCCTCTGTTTTCACTCTGAATTGGTCACTCATCGTCTTCTTTTCCTGTTCCAAAGTCGCCATCTTCGTCTGGTTCAATTCCAATTGTTGCTTCATTTTCTCAACTTCCAGTTTCGATTGATTGAGAGAATTGGAGAGTTCTTGTTTCTGATGCACCATTCCTTGGTGAAGGTGCTCTCTTTCCTTTTCCCATGCTTGCTGTTTTACTCCAAGGGCATGCTTCAGTCTCGAATTGGCTTCTTTGGTGGCCCTATTCACCCGATCTTGTTCCAATAGTTTTTGACGTTGTTCTGCCATCTCCCTCTTACACGCCACCAATTGCTGCTTAAAATTCGTATGATCAACCAATTCGTTTGCCGTCTACTGCAATTCGGATAATTGTACCAAAAATCGCTCTTTCACACTGTTCTCCTCTAGTGTTCGATGTTGAATGTCCACTGGCCTATTGTCTCTCTGAACCATTGGACCCCTCTCCCGAACACTGATTGGTTCTCCCGCCTGCTGGCTTGTTTCTTCTGGTCCCCATGGAAGTGCCAATAAATTGCTCCTCGGTTTTGGTAGTATTGGAGCTGCTATCGTCTTCCCTTTCTCCGGCAACGGTTGACTCAACTCATAAACTATTGCAGACTGTATATAATTGGAACACAGAAGCGTTGCAATTCTACCTGACCTGCGCTTGTAACTCAACTCTGTATGAATTCTGGTGGCCACGTACACTGCCCAATTGAACACCATACCCTCAAAGGAGCCTATTGTCGCATATAATAATCATTTAGCCATATATGTTGTATGTCTATTTAATCCCAACCTCTTCTGAACGAAGCGCATCTACTCCATCAATTTTGGTATAAGTGCATCCGCCGTCTGCCATCCTTGATTCCTTTCTAGCGACGTCATACCTCCTTTAAAATAACTCCCCTGATTGAAGTCTGAAGACTCTTTTGCGCCAACCGCTAACTCTCCTATTGGTAACTGTAATGCCTTATGCAAGGTATTCTCATCAATTCCCAAAGTCCTCCCTTTTACAACACTCAAACCATCCTCAGGATCATAGTTCGTCAAGTATTCTTCCAATAGTTCTACATCGATTGATGATAAATTGTCTGCTGCTCGCAGAAAGGATATAGCTACGCACTTCTAAAGTCCTTCTGTCGCGTTGCATTCCAGCAAATTTCTAACCGCATGGATTCCATATTTGTGAGTATACAAAGAGAAAGCTCATCCATATTACTCCTTGACCTCACCTTTCTACCCTCTTCCTCCTTCTCCAAGGCTCTCTTCACCTTTTCCCTCGACATTATAAAGCTCTGCGTATTCACACTAATACTATGATTTACTGTGAACTCTCCACTAACAAACTATGCTTCAACAATTCTAGACAAAATACTGAAGGCAGCTACACATAGTGCCTCTCTCCTCACTGTTTAACCAATTATGAAACAAGAATCCTTAATCTTGATTGCTGATGTTCTAATACACTAATCAACCGCCTCTGATTAGACACTTATGATGGCAGGCAAGTCATCATGAACGGCACATCTGCCCCCTCCAATCTTGATAAACCCGCCCCCGAGTTTATGTATAATACAGGCGTAGTCGGTTTCCATTGATACGGGTTGTGAATTTGATTCCCGTGAAATCTTCCAATTGGACGAAACCATTGGGAAAGGCTGCCAATACACGATAGGGTCCATGCCACCGAATTTGAAATTTTCTCGGAAAATTGTGAAAACGACTGTCGTACAGCAGGACAAGATCATTGGGCATAAATGATTTTGTGCAGAGTTTACTATCGTAATAACTCTTCCGGCGGCGCTGAATAGCTTCCATGGTCATCAAAGCCGAAGCCCTAATCTCATCCAATTTTTCCAATTCTGTTAACTGATATTGGAGAGATTCTTTGTTACCCAACCGTTCTTCCAATGCAATTCTTAAACTGGGAACCTCCAATTCTATTGGTAAGATGGCCTCCTGCCCGTATATCAATTGAAAAGGTGTGGAATTGGTCGTTACTTTATACGCAGTTCGATATGCCCACAATGCTGCAAATAATTTAGTATTCCAGTCGATTTCCGCTCCTGAAATAGTCTTTGTTAAGATTTTACAAAGGATACCGTTGGTCTTTTCGGTCTGCCCATTGGCACGTGGATGATAAGGGGTAGTTTTTTGATGCTTGATGTCATACTTCATTGTCAATGCTTCAATGGTTGCATTAATAAAATGGGTTCCTCGATCACTAACCAATTCTTTTGGACAACCAAAACGAGTGATAATGTTCTCATATAAAAATGTTGCTACAGTAGTGACATTATCAGTTTTTGTTGCTGTAGCCTCCGCCCATTTGGTGACATAATCGGTGGCTACTAAAATATAACATTTCTGTCCATTCCGAGAAGTAGGTGCAATTGGTCCGACGAAATCAATACCCCATTTTTCGAATAGTACCTGCGCCAAAACTGGTACCAATGGCATTGCAGAAGTTCCAGTAGGTCGACTAATTTGTTGACAAGGGTCACAACGACGAACATATTTGTGAGCATCTGAAAATATTGTTGGCCACCAATAACCAACCATTAAAGCTTTACGCGCGGTGCTATCACCCACAAAATGTCCTCCATAGCTATCCAAATGACATCCTTCCAATATGGTACACACTTCACTTGGAAATATGCAACGTCGTAAAATACCATCCCGTCCTTGTTTGTATAATGCGGCTCCAATCATGGTATACGGCGCACTTCTTATAATCAGACGCTTCTTTAATTTTTCATTATAAGAAATTAGAAAAGTCTGAAATGTGAGATATTGGATCAGGTCACCATATTCGGGTGTAATAACCTCCACAGCGAATAATTATGCATGCGGAAGGGCGTCGTTTATCGGCTCATTATCCAGTATATTAGATAAACGGGACAAGTGATATGCATTGGCATGTGTCTTGCCAGGGCAAACATTAATTGTAAAATTGAATTCCTAGAGAAGTAACACCCAGCGAGCAATTCGTCCGCTCAATTGGGGTTTATTTATCATATACTTAAGCGCATCATGATCAATGTGGAACACAAACGAGTAGCCGAGTAGATAATGGCGGAATTTCTATACAGAATAAATCATGCCGAGGGCTTCTCGCTCGGTAGTATTATAATTGTGTTCGGCCATAATCAATTGTCGACTTGCAAAATATATTAGATGATCACGATTATTGTCATCCTTATGACTCAATATTGATCCAATCGCGACGTTGGATGCATCGACATAAACCTGAAATGATTTCGTCCAGTATGGGGCAACCAGTATTGGTACAGACACCAATTTTTGCTTTAAGGCCTCAAAAGCAACACTGCATTCTGCCGTCCAAATGGGACTAGATTCATCCAATAGTGGTTTTTTTAGCAAATTTGTCAATGGCTGACATAGTGCCGCAAAGGAGTGAATAAAACGCTGATAATAGCTGACATGGCCCACAAAGCCACGTACTTCTGACACCGTTTCTGGCTTCGGTAAAGCCAATATTCGAGTTACTTTATCTGGGTCCGTAGCAATACCGTGGCTGGACACTATGTGGCCCAAGAGTCTTCCAAAGGGGACCCCAAATTGACACTTCTCTGAATTCAATGATATACCGTACTTATCGCATTGGTCCAGACATCATCGCAGGCAGTTCAAATGATCGGCTGTCGTACTGAACGTGCAAAAATCATCTAAGAATATTTCCATTGACACTCGTAAATAATCTTGAAAGGCCTGTGTCATCACTCTTTGAAATGTGGCTGGTGCATTGCATAATCCAAATGGCATCACTTTGTATGCAAATGTACCCCAATCTGTCGTAAAAGTAGTCTTGGACTGATCTTCCTTGGCAATTTTGACTTGATTGTAACCCAAAAAACCATCCAGAAATGAATAACATTCGTGTCCTGCTATGGCATCTAATATACTGTCCGTAAAAGGTAGAGGAAAATAGTCCTTCTTGGTAGCAGCATTGAGTTTCCAAAAATCTTGACAGATTCTAATCTTGCCATTTTTCTTAGGTACCATTACCATTGGTGAGACCCATTCGCTATATGGAACTGGATAAATGAATCCCACGCACAATAATTTGTCCAATTCCTCCTTTACTATCAAGAAATATTTTGGGTTGAGACGGTGTTGTCTTTGACGAACTGGTGTAGCATCCGGAACCAATGTAATACGATGTTCATACACCGTTTCTGGAATACCCTTCAGATCTGCATACGTCCAAGCAAAGGACGATTTATGTCGGAGGAAGAATGCTTTCCACTGACTCAATTCGTTACCTTGTATACCCTTATATATCTTTATATTCTAGGGCGCGTCAGGGGTGCCTAAGTTCAGAGTCTGGAAAACAGGTTCTTCCACAGCCATCGATTTAAAATCGCCTGTTGGCCTGTCGTCGTGCGAAGGAGACTGCAAGTGCTGGTGACTCATGTCTGACCGCATTGCACTCACATGATTGACATCATATCGGGTCATCCATTCGGTAATAACATGATCCGAGTTAGAGGCATCCTCCTGATGCAGTAAATATTCGCCGGGGCCACTACATTGGTAGACTCCGCCCTTGGTTGTTGAAGGGGTTTGACCTGCCCCAAATTGCGATGAAACTATAGCGTCGTCATCTTCCTCAATCGAGTGACTCTCATTATCCGATGTAAATTCTGATTCGGGCAATGGGATTTCTCCGGGATATTGTACCGGGTACACTTATAGAACAATCTGGTCACTGCCTTTTCCAATTGTCAATGTGCTACGGCCCCAATCGTTCTTAGCCTTGGCTTGATACAACCAAGGTCTGCCCAATAAAATGGGATACGATAACGTAGAATTCTGTAACCGAAATACAACATAATTAATTTCGTATGTCAATCCCGCGATTACAGTGGCAATATCACATAAGATTCCCATCGGCTTAACCCGATTATGATCTGCCATTCGCAAAACTAATGTCGTAGGGAGCAATTGCTTTAGATCCAAGTCTTCTATTGTATCAGCGTTCATTAAATTCACACTGGAGCCACCATCGACTTGTACCCCTGGAATTAAAACTCCATCGATTGATACATCGATTGTTGGTGCTCCCGGATCTGGGTTTAAGCTAACTTCATGTATTTCTTTAGTGCGGGATCTTCACCGTACTAACGCTGAATTCAATGTTGATCGACATTCCGGTGCTACAGCCAAAAGTTACTTCATTGTAATTGAAGGCTGGATAACATCCAAATCTTTCAATATGTCGTAGAGTTGCATATTGAGAGTAACTCCCAATGCTCTTTTGC